TAATTTCGTATCCTGAAACCTAAAATAATTTCATCAGTATGTATATATAGTAATTACTTTTCAGTTGACAGGCAGATTATCAAATAATAATTTTGATTATTTCATAATGTAATCAAAATTGCTATTTTCTTTTTAATTAGTTTTATATATGAGTTTATATATTTTATATAGGCTATAAAAATAATAATATTATATATAAACTTATATATATATATAATACATATGCATATATAGATTTAATAATCAAGCAAATAATTTAGTATCACAATAGTTACAGATTTTATAATCAAGAATATTAAAATAAAAATACAATTTTGAACTATGAATTAGAAGATAAAAAAAAAAAAAGAATAAAAAGTATTTGTTTATATAATATTTAATATTTGGACTATGTTTATACAATATTCAATATTTATACTATGTTTGCTAATAGTTTATATCAGAGGTAATATTTTATTGAATTTAAAATTAGTAGAATATATAATAGAAAGTAAGCAATTAACCAAATTAGTAAGAATAGCAAAGATATCTCATAACAAAATTATACTAAAAGTTTTAGTAGAATTAGCTGGTAGTATTATTCTTTGTCTGTTAAAACAAGCTGGCTACAAGTAAAAAATAATAGAATTACAAATATTCTTGTTTAGATAAGTTAGATAAGTAGTAAAAATTTTGTTTTGTTGTTTTTTAGCTCCAAAAAAATCTAAATTCATTGTTTTTTTTACTTATATTATACTTATCTATTTTTTAGTAACTGATCTTTGTATTGTATATGCTATTCTTTTTGTTGCTCTTTTTTGATTAATCTTTTATGTTTAAAATTTTGTTTTTGCAGTTGTTTTGTGATCTTTATATATAAATTAAGTTGCTTGTATAACCTATTTGTAATAGCATTGCAAAACTTTTTTTTTTTTTTTTAATATTAAAGTAAAGTTACACTTTTGGTTTTTATTAATATATACTACTATCAATTACAATTTTATATATATTAATTTACAACTACAGAGATTTAGACTAATTTATTTATGATCTAAACTTACTAAAATATTCTATATCTCACACATGTCTTATTTAGCTTTATATTTCTCAACTAACTATATTTAGTAATTACTATATTTCCTATATCTCACATGACTAGTCATAACTTCTAAATTAATATATTGAGTTCTCACTTATTATAAGCTCCCAAGTTGGTGTACCTGCAAACACGATCCATGGAAAGTCTCTTTACAGATTCTATTAACGCATTGTAATTGGTGCAGATGGTCTTTTTATAGCTTATATCTCAAGCCAGAATCTTGCTGCTTAGTTATGTTCACTACATGACTGAGTTGGTATTATATTGTCAAGTTACTTTATATTTATTTACAAATAAACCCTCCTATTTATTAGTCCAGGTATACTAACCTGTATCTCAAGCCAAATTTCTGCTGCCACTACTAGTTTACCAATCTTAGAACTTAATATTTTTTTCTGGTATAGTGATACTAGCTAACCTGTTTGTACTTTTTTATATAGTATATTACCAGAACCTTATTTTATGAGGACCCTTCAAGTTGCATAACAACTAAAAAGCTACACACTTCTAACTATAGGCTTTATATCATACTACTAAAAAGCAGTATCCCAATTCACTTTGACTTCCAACTTGATCTTCTTATTGTTTAGTATTGTATTATTGTTAGTGTATTTTGACTTCTTTTATTATTAACTTCTATATAAATATGACCAGAGCTCCGGCTTGGCGCTTTTAGATATATTAGATTAGCTAGCCTGCCTATATAAAATTATCTTCTTTAGTAAGTTGTTCCACAGTACGTAAGATGCTTCCAATTTAGATAAAGCCAATCCTTTATTACAGCCCTTTCACATGTTCACTGCTTCTCTCACCATTTTAGTTTTAGTAATATTGTATTACCCTTCCAAATAAGTACTCAACACCATTCTATATTGGGACTTATACACACAATCTGTTGATCATCCTTCCAAGCAAGTACTCTACAAGTTGGGTGCAAGAATGTTGGTATTGCTGAATATAGAGATAATAGGATATTGGTATTGTCTCTTTTAGTTATCTAACTAGAAGACTTACTCACATAATCTTTTACAACCTTGACTTTCTGTGATATCTGTCACACATGGTGTCTGTATTTTATGATCGAGACTCCTTCTAGAAATTTTTATTTCAGAACCATACTTGTACTTGAACTTTTTACAAGGCTTTGTGTCTGATTATAGCTCTAGAAGGTTATAGTAACAAATTTAAAATTTGCTACCAGCTTGACTTGAACTATTGATCTTGTCTGTGAGGATTTGGGAGCTTAACCAATAAGCCATAAAGCCCAAACCAAGCTTTCTTCTTTTTAATTATATGATATATTATTATTTTATATAAAAAATAAAAATAGATAGAAGTAGTGACTTGAATCAGTTAGGCTATAATTGGTTAACTGACTTAAACTGAATAAATTTTGAGTAATTGGTTAAGGAAGTTTTTAATTAGTTGACCCAGTATAACTGGCTGGGGATCTAAAAATATAATAAAAAAAGTAAATATTCTGAAAAGTTCTAAAAAAATAAATAAACGAACAAAAATTAGAGTAAAGCTCTGAGAATTTTCGAAGGTAGTAGAGTATTAATTTTAACCAGTTGGCAACTAGTTGCATAAAAATTATTCAGTTCGGTTAACTAATTAAGAAAATTTTCTCAATTCAAATCACTAAATAGAAGATATCAGTTAAGTTATCAAAAAGTATTATATATATATTTAAATTAGAATAATCTTGTCTGATATACCAAAGTTAAATTTTATTTAAATAATACAGTTCGTATTAGTTGTAATATTGTCTAGAGGTTATTATAAGCAGTTGTATTTGCATGGCTTATATTAGCTAATAGTTTTTTGCTATATAATATAGGTTGGATATCAGATAAATATATAATATTTTATTTAGCAATTATATATAATTATAAAATAGCAGATTGCTTTAGCAATTTTAATATAGAATCATAATTGTATTATTTTATAGATTTAACTTGTTCTTATATCAGACTCTTATAGATTAGTAATTACTATATATAGAAAATTATCAGATTATAATCAAAAATGCAACTTATATAATATTTTATACAAAAAGAATAGATTATAATGTATCTGTATTATAATTTATCTAATCAAATTACAAATAAAAGACTAACTAGTCTTCAGAGCAAATCTCAGATTTCTTTATTATATATTTTAATAATTACAAATTATATAGTAACTATAGTAAACAACTAATAAGACTCTAGCTTAGAAATATTTTATTAACAAATATATTTTCTACCCAATATATCTAGTTCTATTATTATTATGTTTTATATAGTATATTAGTATTTTTTACTATCATATCTAAGTATCTTCCAACTTGGTATTTCTATTTTAGTATACTACTTCTCTATTTATCTAGCTGTTTTTTATATTTTTTTAGTAGTGAATTAATATTTTAAATATATATTCAATATACTCCTCAAATTGATATAGATCTAAACTTGGATATGATTATAACTAGTAAAACTACTTCTAATCAAGTTTTGTATAATAATGTTATTTTCAACTTATAGCTATATTGGTTGGTGTTTTAGAATTGGTGCATTTGTATTGGTCTTATTTTTTATCAGAAACTTTTAATTAGAAATAACTTATACTGACAATAGCGATTTTTTTACATATATATAGATATACTGTAACACCTCTCTATATTTAACAATTCATATCAGTATAGATTGCTAAAGATGTTCTTTATTTGGTTAAGCAAATCTCTTTATATCCACCACATTTCTCACTACTTCAATTTGTATTACAATTATATTACTCTTCCAACCAAGATCCCAAGACTGTCTTAGGATTGTTGGTGCTACCTTGCCACCTGCAAAATTTACTTCACAACCTTGTAGTAAAACCTTCTGTGATATTGCTATCACACATAATACTCTTCTTCTCTATAATGAACCTCCCTACAGAAATTGTTAAACCAAATTCATACTACACACAAGGGGTTTTGCATTTAAAATTCCTAGAAACCACTTCTAGTAGGACTCGAACCAAAAACCTTGGCTGTGGGTAGGCGCTTAGACCACTAAACTATAGGCCATGAATGTAATTTATTTGACTGCCGTTACAGTATCAGTTACTCATCAATTAAGTTTATCGATTATTACAGTATCGAATTTAGAATCAGTTTAAATTTCGTATCAACTTGAACTACATTTGGAATTCCGTTTCAACATAATTCCGTCCAGACGTACAACATATATGTTGTACCTGGAAGGAAATCCGCCCGTTTCGGAATCCGGCAGTCCCGTTCAGAATCAGGACGGCCGGATTTAGAATTCTTATATGGGGCACCGGTTCACTATACTAATACTCTAACCCTTACTAATTATTGAACCGGGCACCCCGTATAAGAATTCTAAATCCGGCTACCCAATTCTGAATTGGGGCGGCCGGATTCTGAACGGGCGGATTCCTATCTGGGGTACGACATATATATAAAGACGATTACAATGGTACGTTACATGCCAGACTTTCAAAGGGTTAATAATCATAACTGCTTTAAAAACTCCTAGATACGACAGAATTTTTGTAACACTATGCATCGCTCTTTACGATACTTCGGACCATTACGACCATATATCCGTTTATTATATTTTTTCCTAATCGTAATTTTGTACTAATTCGTAACATGTTACAACATTGTGTGAATCGTGATACAAAGAGTTAACATTATGTAGCTAAATTTTAATCTAACGCTTATGCATAGCATAGTTTTTACGGTATAATTTATTATTAATGATCTAATGATTGTCACACCCCAATCAACTGGTTAATATCTCATAATTTTAGGGTTCTTTAAAAATCCACATTAGTTGCGCCTCTTCCTAAAAAGGAGAAGACTGAATCACTACATAAGTACCAACTTTTCCAAAAACGAATTTCAAGGTCTGAACATTTTGACACTATGTCCTCAACTCCAGCCTCTGTTCAACTTACAGGACAACCCGGGGAGAGCATGAAGGAAGGAACTAACAGTGAGCATATTAATCTTAAGGTGGTTGGAGACGTAAGTATTTACTTTTAAACAAGGTTTAGCATTAAATTATTTATTGCATATAATGAAATGTGCGTTGCATTCTTAGCGTAATGAGATGTACTTTAAAATTAAGCGAACAACACAATTTAAAAAGCTAATGGACGCTTTTTGTGAAAGACAAAACAGGGATGTTAGGTCATTTCGTTTTCTTTATGATGGTGATCGCATACAGGCTCATGATACTCCGCTTGAGGCATGTTTAATTCTACTTCGATGGTTACCTTTTATCTCCTTTATATTGACCTTTAAGATATGACTGTGGTTTTTTCTTAATTTTTTAATTATTAGCTGGAAATGGAAGATGGTGATATCATTGAAGTTATGGTTCAACAATTTGGTATATTCATTTCCTGTTTATAAATTCTTTCCTTATCGGCTATGTCAATATGTTAGTATCCCAATTTTATTTATCTGATTTTTTAGGCGGTTGCATTTAATATTGTTGATTGGTATCTGGAATCACCGGACTTCCCGATTTTTCCAATATCTCAGTGACTTTGATAAAAAATTACACTGGAATAAATTAATAAATGTGCACATGAGGTAATTAATACCTTTACAAAGACATGCAAAAATTTTTATGAATTTAATATTAAAGTTATTAATAAGATCTAATATATAAAAAAATTATATTTAAATTATTATAAGATTATTATTATAAATTTAGAAAATTGCTATTTCCACCTTCTGTATTTGCTAATGCCACCCCTACATAATTTAGTTGGCCTCCAATCTTCCTAACCCTAATTATTGATTGGCGTTAGATTATGTAAGGGTGGCATTAGCAAAAATAGAGCTAGCAATGGCAATACTCTAAATTTATTATAAAATTATTGATTATAATTATTATACGATTAGTATAAGATGATTATAAGATTATGATTTAAGATTAACGGGATTAGTATAAGATGATTATAAGTTTATGATTTGAGATTATTATACAGTAAGATTTTTTGATTTTTTTTAGAGTCGACTTAAGATCATAATAAATCAATAGATAGTTTTGTAAAGATTGTATCAACCAATCATAAAGTCATGTATATCGTATAAATATATACTGTATATTACTTTTTAGGAATTAATTTTGATAGATATATATTTAAGTTATATATATATCAATACTTCAAGG